CTACACTGGTCTCTGTGCGGTCAGTACCTTTTTTCCCTCGCCTCCTCAATGGCTGCGTTGAGAAGCTGGGTTACCAGTTCTACCGGTGGATTTGGCCCATAGAGTGTCAGCCTCCTCTGCACGATTCTCTGGATCTCGTCCTCTTCTCCATTTGGTGAGTTGGCATTAGCCATGATGTTGTTTTGGTCCATTTCGACTAATTCAGCTATTAATTCCCATTTCGGTCTTTTGCTAGCTGAACGCCCACGGCTCACCAGCAGATCCTTCAATGTTGGCCGTTTGTTTCTCATAGCACCTCCTCTGGGAAGATAGGACCATCCCGCCGCTGCAACCAATGTAGCAGTTACCCCTTGTAGCAGAGGGGTTTCAACCACTGGAGGCTGTCCTTTTTCCCGATCAGTGAGGAGGATTCCCAGCATCCAGTCGTGATCCAAGTGAAGAAGCTCTTACAAGAGCTAGCGTGAATAGCTGTATAGCGGTTATCCCCAATAAAAGACAGGACTCTAGACTGAAGGTGAAGTAGAACTGATTTTTATTGGCATGTACTCTCCTTTTGTTATGGACAGATGAATTAAAATAAAATGGCTATTTACTAATGTCTATTTATTCTCTGTTCACTATGTTAAAACTGGCTTCTAGAGTAAATATTCCCTTCCCCCCCTACAATGTGGTCAGCTGCTGTTTACTATGTAAATTCCTCACATCCTGCTAGCCTCCCCTCCCCCACTACCTTTGTGCCAGTTAACAGCTATATGCCATATATAGCTAAATGGAGGATCATTGGTTTAGAACTGATAGATACCACTCACTCCCCCTCCCATCGTGTATCCAAAAGTGTGTAATGATGACACTACATGAATGGCATGAATGGCATGAATGGCACCTTAAAAGGCTCCATTCTGTAGGGGGGTTTAAACAAGAGCCCCCTTTCTCTGTTAACCAATTGGTGAATGTATACTGTATGTTTAAACTGTGACGTATTTTTGCTTTAAGAAGGAGCCCCCACTCCGGGGAATAAAGCATTCCTGGGTTTTTCACTGATCAGAAACTTTGTCTCCGGTGTGAATTACTTCTAGGGAAAGCGTGCACGCATTAATTAATCAATTTGGAAGGTGTAGATAGACAAATAATCAAAGTTTTCTTTGATCCAAAACAATTTGGTGGAGAATGCGGGCATTTAAGGGATACGTTACTAAGGCAGCCGTCAGATCCCAAGACAGGAGAGCAAAGGATTCCCAGAGATTGGAAACGGAGCCTGATCACCTCTGCATATGGTAAATGAGTTACTTACCTATATTTTCCTTTCTTTGGATTTCTCTTGTTCTCCGTGCCTTCACATTCGGCTTCCGGTGTTTAACGTCTTCAGACAGGTAATATATATATGCCCGAATGTCCCCTTTTATATAGAACCTGTCACTTGTCTATCTACAGCCTGAGTCCTGAGTGTGAGTTTTATGTGTGAAAGTGTCTGTTTGAGAATCTGTTTTACTACTTGCTTAATACTGTTACATAATGCTGCCAAGTGTGGTTAAGCACTTGCAGGTTTAGCCAAGTTCGGGTTTGGTGGAAAACCCCTGGCTCTATATTTATTTTAGCTAAGCTTCGGTAAAGAAGTTATTGCGAGACTCGGTCAAGAGTTTAAAAATAAATAAATAAAATAATTAAAAAATAAATAAATAAAAAAAAAAAAATATTTTAGCTAAGCTTTGGTAAAGAAGCTAGTGAGTGATGTTTTGGCCTCGTTTGGTAAAAAACCTGGCGGTTCCTTTGTTTTATTAAGACTCGGTCAAGAGTTTAAATAGCTAAGCTTTGGTAAAGGAGCGGTTTATGTGCTTGAGTGTTTCTGTGTGTGTGATTTGATTTATTATAAGCCGGCATTTATTTTAAGAACTTTGTGATTTAATTACATCTGTATTTTGTGCTTTTGTCTGTGTATGTCTTGTTGGGTACCATATATGTTAATTGTAATCTATACAATCTGTATCGTTACTCTCCTATTCTATCTTTTGTCCTAAGGAGAGCTGCGCTTAGGCAATCACATGGTTAAAAAACTTTGTGCTTGCAAGTCTTCCTCCCTCCTCCCCCCTCCTTCTTTGTTGCTTTCTCTTGCTCTGACTGCTATGAGTATTGGCTACAGGGGGGTGGGGTGAATGGGTGAAATGCTTGTAAACTCAGTGAGGAATGTGAGGGAAACAAGGTATATTTTCTGGACGAATAACCTAGTTAGGAACTTTGTGTAATCTTGTATATGTTGTTAAGCAAGAGGTTATTGGCATGTTGGAATAAGGAAAGTTAGATTTTGTTGGAACAAATGAATTGTGGAATTTATAAATGATTTCGCAGAGAAAAGTAAATTGCAGTTTGCATGTAATAGCAGCTATTCAGATGCTGTTTTGTGGCAATATTTATACACACAATGTGAAATTGCCAATAGTGAAATTGACAAGAAATTGTTTGTTAATAAGAAAAAAAAAACAAAAGATCAGAAATGTTATGAAACTAGTCTGTACTTACAATGCATTGATTTGTAAACGAGATGCAGGTCAAGAAAATTTAGAATCAGCAGATAAAGAAATAGATTTGAATGGGTTAACAGAAGACAAATCAGATTTAAATGAACAGTGTAACAATGTAACAGAGAGCACATGCTGTAAACAGTCAGAAACAGTCTGTGAATTACAGGATAGAGTTGAACTAAGAAGTGATCTTATTTGCCAGCTTAGAAATGAAGTTAAGCAAGTGTGTGTTAATACAAGAAAAATACAGACACAGAATCTAATCCCAGAACCAGAACAGAGTGATTTGCAGAAATATAAATTTCAAGACAGAGCTGCAAAACTTAATTTGAAGATCCATGAACAATTAATGAAAATTGTGAAATGTATTCCAGTTTATGACACGTCAGTGGATGCATTCACTAATGCTGAAATGTTTGAGTCTAATTTAGACAAATACAGCCTACATGACGTACAAAGGAATAGACTATTTCAAATATGGCTGCCGACTCAAATGGCATGTAGGCTGACCGCGCCTGTAAAATTCGAGGACAATGATGAAATAATATATTGAAATAAGCAATACAGATTAACACAATTAATAAAATTAACAACAGGGAATGATTTTGCAGACACTGAAATGTTGGAAAAACTAAAACCACACAAGGGGGAGGATATATTTAGTTTTCTTGCAAAATTTGAAAATGCATATAGACTTGTTGCTGATTTTTCTGAAGATCAGTTAATTAATGAATTTGTGAAAAAATTTCAAGATCTAGATCCAACTGCAATTGTGGTAGCTAGAGAAAAAAGCACTTTGACAGAAGTAGCTTTGTTCTTGGATAACTTAAGGAGGGAAACCAAGAATGAAGGGGTTAAAACGACTTGTGGCTTTAGGCAGAGAAAGAAGTGCAGATGTTACAGCCCCCGTCCCCCTTCTTCTTCTTCTTCTTCTTCTAGGACAGAGTGTAGAGTGATACAGACAGCTGAGCCCCTCCCAATTTATTCAACTAAATATAGGGCAGTTGATAATATAGGGCAGAATATAACTCCTAAAGTTATTTGTTTTTGGTGCAATAAACAACATTATTTAAGATCTTGCAGATATTTTATCCGAGATATCAAATCAAAAGCAAATGAGAAATTAAATTTGTTGATTGAAAATTTTGACAGAGAAAATACATGTGGAGATAAATCAATTAAAGCCTTTCCTTGTAAACTTATAATCAGACAAATAAAAGCAATTTTAGCTAAATCGAAATTAGGAGACAGACAAGCAATGCAGCGTAACACAGAAAGTTATAAGAATCAGATAACTTCAAGAGATATGATCAGTTTAGGGAATGAGCATGGATATGTCTGCCAACAGAGGTACACAGGCTGATTCCAGAATTAAGAACAGCCAAGAATAGAGTTCTATGTTAGTTTGTTTTAATGAAATGTTAGTCTGAACTGTTTTTTTTCATTGTTTTATATGTATTTTAAGAAAGTATTAGGTTAATTAATTAAAATAAAAATGTACATCAAGTTTGCAAATATGGCAGAATGAAATACACTAATGTAGCAGTGAGGAACATGCAATGTATGTTATATTGGGTGTATGCAATTATACAGTAACTCCAATCATTTTACAGAAGGTAAAAACAATGTTGTTACTTCTGAGGTTGATTTAAAATCTTTGATTTAATTAATGAGAATGAGATTTTAATATCATGACTGATAATGGATTACTGTATATTGCAACGCCTGGACATACACATGGTTTGGATATACTGAAGACAAAAGGAATAATATATGGGAATGGATAAGGCTGATTTCCCCCTATCCACAGCCACGCCTACTCCTAAAGTAACATCGCGTACATCCTTACTATGCCCTTTTACTGTAGAATTTCCCGAATCCTAATGACCCATTCCACTACATGGTGTGACTTGTTTAAGCCTAAGATAAATTGGCTGATCAGGCTACCTGTATTAACAATGTCATCAACGATGAGTTAGCATCTGTGGAGAAGCATCACTTCAGGTTGTCCCAAATTTTCTTTTAACTTAAGTTTTAGTACATAGTAAGGCCCATGCCCAATAACTATATGCAGCCTTGTATAGCAGGCCACATGACATCTATTTGTACCAAGCAAGGCCTGCCTGACTCCTCATTTCTGTCTAACATTGTTGTCTCCTGCATAAGTGTAGATGGCTCTCCTTGGAGTAGCCTGTTAACTAAGCCTTGCTTTGTGGTTACCTTCACCTGTCCAATTAATCTGCTAGGTGCAGATGTCCTTCCCCCACTTGCAGGCCCCTATCACCTTATTATTCATTTTGTTCCACACAGTGAAACCTGACCAAGAGGCAAGGGTCCTAGCTAGTTCCCCCAATACCTTTACCTGAATTATACAGGCCCCAAAGCCTGTCCAAGCTCTTACTATTCCCTAACAGGTTAAGGCTCTGGTGTCGAATGTTGCCCTGGTTACCTGAGACTTTCCATGCAATATCCCACCTCTCCTTGTGATGGACGAATTCTGTGCAGGATAATGTCACCCTGCAGGGATGATACTCTATTTACCTGGCCACTCTTCTGCCACTTCCCAAGGGGGGAAATGATAAGACACTGACTATTATTTTTTTTTTTAGCCTTTTTCTTATGTTCTGTTCCGGATTTGCTGTCACTACAGTGGACCAAGTATCTCACCTCAACAATGTCTGCACAAGAAGCTGAGCTATAGACTCCCATCACACCATGCAAGATCTCTGAAGGAAGACTGAACTCAGAGGAAGCATGTGGCAGCTCTCTGGCTGACTAAGTTGTTCAAAAAGTTGTAAGTGCACTAAGGGAAGTGGACAGAAAAGTGTCTGCTGAAGAAACTCCCATATTCACCATGTAAGATCCTACCCACAGACATCAAGCTCCCGAAGGAATAACAAGCAAGCTACTGACCCTGGAAAGAAAGAAAAAACAAACAAACCACAAGCTGGAAACAGAAAGGGGCAACTCTTAAAGACAGGCTGTACTTCAACAATCTCAAGTTATACTTGCCCAAGAACATATACTCAGCAGTGGTCCAGTGGGCCTACGGAGCATCTGTCCAGAACCCTCATGAACTCTTTTGATCAATAAATACTCTGAAGTACCAGGAATTGCCTCTCTGACCAACAGTTACTGTAAATCTTGTGCCATTTGTGCCAAGGGCAACTCAAGAAGAATGGATGAAAGCCCCAAGCATCTAGCCAAACCTCATTATCTCTTCCAGAGGAGTCAAGTCGCCAGAATGCCAAAGAATGGCTGATTCAAATATGCACTAATTATAGCAGACATGTTTTCAGGATGGCCAGAGGCCTATCCAGCCACCAAAGTGATAACCAAGACCACATGCTGAGTAGTGCACCGTGAAAGATACAGAGATCACCCCGTGGGTTCATCATTCCAGAATCAAGCCTGCCTCTGCATCATGTGAAGTAACATTTGTTGATCTTGACAACCCTTTTTGAAACTCCATTCTTAGAGAACAAAGATACTTGTTGAAAATAAATAAATAAATATCAACAAGTGGGTGTTTTGATGGCCATAATAATGCCTGACCACCTGCCATCGATGGAAAGCTGAATACCCCAAAAGGGGACCTCGTGAAACTAAAGAGAAACAAACATACTCCTTACCCTGCAGCCCTCACGTCTGAGGTGCCATACGCACAGTCAAAGCTTCTTCAAGATCATCTGCTTATCTTGAGTTTGTGGTGATATTAATATTGAATGTTTAAATGATCTGAATCTGCCAGTACTAGGGTAGCATGAGACAAGATTTCTAAGAATAAGTAAATGTGCCCTAGCCTAGGTTATTATGTCCATACACATAACACATGACAATCCCCAAGGTACTCTTGACACCTCATTCATGCTTCAGGACAAAAAAGGAGTACCCCTATAAAGGGTGGTTTTACCCACACATACATATATATGTATATTAATGCCATAGGGGTGTCAAGGGGGGTACCAAATAATTTTAAGGTAAGAAACTAAGTTTGAATCTATTCTCCCAAGCATTACGGCTAATAAAATCTGAATTGGAAGGGAAGAGGTTTATACAATAAACAGGAGACCTTTTTCTTACAGGACATGTATGACTCAGCTGAATGGGTAGGTGCCACGCACATGACTGTTAATCCCCTCAAACCACACATTAGGACTTTAAAAGACATGGTAGTCATCCCATATTTGAGGATAAGAGGGCTGTAGAGACAGGTTTCTCTGACACTAACTTGTGACTTGAATGGATGAAATACAATGCTACTAAACATAACAAGTCTAACTGCTATGTCTGCAGAGGAGCGAGGCCTCACCCAGGTACAGTATCCCTGAACCTTCCTCCGGATATGAAGTATGCGTTTTAAGTCTCTACACTGTATTTAAACCTAAGCGGTCAGCATGCGAGTCATGGAAACTTAATACCCAATCATTACTAAAAATATTAACCCAGACGAAGGCATTACTATATAGCCCGGGAACTATACTTGTTATGGGATATATGGTGGGATAGGGCGGTTACAAACTATCTCTCAGATGACCTTCCAGAATAGAATAAGCTTGGAAATGATTTTAGCAGAAAAAGGGAGAGTATGTAAAATACTCCCAGACACCATGACATGCTGTACCTATATTCCAGATAATACAGGCCCTAATGGTAAGGTAACGTTGGCAATAGAAAAGTTAAAGAGTTTGTCCAATGAACTGAAACGAAATTCTGGGGCCACAGATCCATGGGAAAGATGGTTTGGATGGATGTCTGAATGGCAAGGTGCTCTGGCCCAAATAGGTGTTGCCATTTTAATAACGATAATCATCCTCGCTCTTCTTGTTTGTTGTGTGTTACCCTGTCTTAAGAAATGCCTACAAAAGACAGTTGATCAGGCAATCGACCAGACCACCCCGACCTTCCTTCACCAAGAGATTGACGATATCGACCGTGATACACCACATACACCCTTACAGTCCCACCGCACTAAATCAACAGCTACTTCCTCTTAAGGACATTTAGGGATAGCGTCTGTCTCTACGGGCAGAAGTCTGCCGCGGGAGAAGTAGTGGACAAGCTGCTATGGGGTACCCGCGCAGTGAAGTGTTCGAGGCCTGTTCAGACAGATGTGCAAGATAGCCTTTTGTTATTTTTCTATAGGGACAGTATTAGAATGAGAGATAGTAGTTTTAGTAAAAATTGCCATTTTAAGGGGGGACTGTTATGGACAGATGAATTAAAATAAAATGGCTATTTACTAATGTCTATTTATTCTCTGTTCACTATGTTAAAACTGGCTTCTAGAGTAAATATTCCCTTCCCCCCCTACAATGTGGTCAGCTGCTGTTTACTATGTAAATTCCTCACATCCTGCTAGCCTCCCCTCCCCCACTACCTTTGTGCCAGTTAACAGCTATATGCCATATATAGCTAAATGGAGGATCATTGGTTTAGAACTGATAGATACCACTCACTCCCCCTCCCATCGTGTATCCAAAAGTGTGTAATGATGACACTACATGAATGGCATGAATGGCATGAATGGCACCTTAAAAGGCTCCATTCTGTAGGGGGGTTTAAACAAGAGCCCCCTTTCTCTGTTAACCAATTGGTGAATGTATACTGTATGTTTAAACTGTGACGTATTTTTGCTTTAAGAAGGAGCCCCCACTCCGGGGAATAAAGCATTCCTGGGTTTTTCACTGATCAGAAACTTTGTCTCCGGTGTGAATTACTTCTAGGGAAAGCGTGCACGCATTAATTAATCAATTTGGAAGGTGTAGATAGACAAATAATCAAAGTTTTCTTTGATCCAAAACACTTTTATGCAGTGCTCCCATGCAAGGGAGACACCCACAAGCAATTATACATTAACCAATCAATTAAAAAATACAGTTTTCTCAGGTTTCTGGATGTACCCCAAATATATAGGGTACATCCCTAATACTGGTATCCCCTGATAGCCCCGATCTCGGTGAACAACATATTCAAAAAACACCCAGATCGGACCAGGGATCCGGGAGTTACTGGGACTTAAAGTTTTGACCCAGGCAACAGTAGCCGAAAACAGTTCCATAAGTTTTGGCCTTGCGTTCAGT